ATTGTTTTCTTTGAAACAAACGTACCTGCTAATTCCAGGTCTTTCTGAAGCTCTCCACAAGTGGTCCTTGGCTCTTGGACAATTCTGATAATTCTTTTCACTCCTCTGTCAGAAATCTTGCGAGGAGCACCTGGTCGGCGACAAAGCGTTTAATGTCAGCACAGCTTTAAAAACAGTTCTGAGAATCGTGAGAACGTCTCATCAGGGCTCCTCGGGGACCGTTGGACCACTCCTCCTCTGTGTCAGTCTCCAGCTCTGGAAAGTTTTCTTTCCGTCACCCTGATCATCAGTTTCCACCACACACTCTCAGATGGTTTTAGGTCCAGACCCGAAGGTGGCAGCCTAATTAATTTATCAACTCTCTGAGACGTAATGGAACCGAAATAAACTAAGATGAGCTATACATAAATGATCCTTCCAAACAAAATATTTGTTAGGATTTCGAGAGAGACGGGGGGATATTAATGGAAAGAAACATGTTTACAAGCAGTCGTCTGCTAACTAACCTAACCCCAACTAACTGTAACATAAACCTGGTTAAATAGGAAATTAGTTTACGGTATAAAGCACTGATAAAAACAACTATTTAATTTATTTTATTGTTTTATTTTCCATGATAGCAGTGAGGGTGCAGCTTGCTGTTGGCTGACAGACTCTGAAAGAAGAGGAAGTGAGGGTGGAGGTGGGGGATTATTGTCTCTCTTACTGGGTCAGGAGGGTTAGTTAGTTCACTAAGGAAATCATTATTAATTGCTCCAAAAAACCCAAAACAAAACAAAATAATTAAAAAATAAAAATAAAACTAGAAGCACTCGGACAGCGCAATCCTCCGCCAAGGCCAATTTCCCCCTCTCCTGTAATAGTAAAGAATCCTTCAAAAAAATTCCTGTATCTGCATCGTGATCCAGATCATCACCAATGGTGTAATTGCACCAATGGTGCAGTGGTGTGTTCCTTTGGCCAATATCCACCTGTGGTAAAAATTTCATGAAAATCCGTCCACAAGTTTTTGAGTAATTTTGTTATACACAACCATAAACAATACCTCCTCCCTTGGCAGAGGTAATAAAAAATTCACTGGGGCACTGGAGAAGTTGTTTGCCCAGGGTCCCAAACCGGCTAGGACCACCCCTGGCTCCTTTGATTATTGACCTTCTTACCTGGTCTGTAATTTGGTGAACAATCTTCTCCAAGTCTGCTGTGGTTTTTCCTCCAACCCTGATCTGTTCTTCACATCTTTGTCTCACCTGTGTGGTGAGCTCCTTGGTCTTCATGATTGCTTAGTGGCAACTCTCACAACTGAAGAGCTCTTGAAGTGGGGGGTATCAGTGCAGGTGTTTATGTACTGAGACCACCTGAATTAAATTGCACACAGTATGCAGGTTTTGAAGGAAAAATCTATTTAAAAAAAAAGGGAAAAAAAACTAAAGCACACTTTAAGTTTTTCTTTTGAATGTCATGAAAAGTTTAAAAATCATCTAACCATCTTTTTGTTTCATGTTTATGTGGTTTTCAACAGGAGAGATTTGGGATTTTTTTTTACTATTACTGTTAATATTTAATCGTAATTAAATAGTTTTTCACAGGATTAAGATTTTTGTGTCTTGTAACGTGTGTTTGTGTGTTTGTCGGTGCAGCGTGCCCGTCCCGACTCGTCTCCGAGTGGAGAGCTGGAGCTTCAGCTTCGTGAAGCTTCTGTCGGACCCCATGGGGAGGCGGGAGTTCATGACATACCTGGAGAAGGAGTTCAGTGGTGAGAGAGTTTATGGGTAGAAAACACTCTTGCAGATTTCATGAGGTGATATGAGACAATGAATAAAGTCCAACGCCCAGAGAATGATAGAATCATAAATAAATATCTTTGTTCTGCAGCTGACAGTCAAGCCTACAGACTGAGGGACGCACTGCTCTGGAGCAGGGCTCACTGCAGTACATGGGTGGAGTTTCTTGGCTGTGTGGGCGGAGTTTGTCCTAACTGTGATTGGTGGAAATTGGATTATAGGTGGAGGTTCTTGTGTGTGGAGTTTGATCATGATTGCTTGGATTGATTTTTCATGTTGGGCAAGTTAAAAGAAGAAATATTGATCATAGTAAAATTACTGTGAACATAAATAGAATTTACTTCAAATTTTGTGCGTCTTCCTGTCTGGAGTTAAGACTAAAATTATAGATGTTTTGTGGCTGTTTTGACTGAGCAACACGTCCCCCAAGCTGCCCAGCATTCATCCAACCGAATTGTTTCGGCTTCTTCAAACCCCGCCCCAAAATATTCAATCTGACCAATCGCGTCTTTGACAAACTCCTCCCACACACCAAGCACCTCCCACTTTGTGACCGCAGAGACCTCATTCTCCCCAGATATGGCAAAGAACGACGGCCCTTTGTGGCCCAGATGTGGTCCAAGCATGGGGCAGCACCACATAAACCAAACCACACCTGGGCCAGTTGTAATACGCCATCGTTGCCAGACCTGGGGTCTCATTTATAAAGGATTGCGTGGAAACCATACTAAAAGTGAACGTACGGCCAAAAGGCGGAAATGGCGTACGCCAAAAAAAATAAAATAAAAACAATAAAAAAAATTCAGATTTATAAAACCGTGCGTACGCATGTTTCTGCGCATCTTTCCTTTATAAATCACAGCTTCACGTCAGAGTTTGCGCACGAGGTCCCTCCTCAGGTTCTGCCC